TGTCTTTCTGGCAAGCCAGAGCCAGCTTCTGGAATGATCCTGATGAGTAACAAGGCTCTAAGAGGTCACCCTAAATCTTGGTGCATGGTCGGCTTTTTGAGGGTGCATTTCCTGAGTATATTACACACTTCAGTTGTCCTTAAAGCGAGCTTCGCAATGAAGTTCTGCACACTATATTTGGTTGTGAATACAGTACTTTATGAACTCAATGGCAAAGTGTTCTTTTTGGGTAGCCAAAGAGCTGAAGAGTTGCTTTTTAGTTAAAAATCCATTTAACTAGCAATCAATCGTCTGCTATTCTCAGTTTTCCAAGAGTCAACAAGAGGTAAACACAGAAAGCCGCTCTGCCAGTTCACTATTACGATTTCAGTTCGTCTCGGAGGGGTGTACAGAAGTGGGGGGACAAGTCTCTACTTGTAAACTCACCTACAGAACCAAAGGGACATCTGGATTCTCAAAGGTTCCAAATGACAGGAGAAACCAAACTGCCTTCACGGAAGAAAAAGGTCTCCGATACCCAGGTGCACACAACACCTGAGCCGACAAGGAACCTGCAGAAACGCCCCTGTCTTCCGACAGAGAAGGACTGGGACTCAGCTGTACGAGGGCATGAAAAGCAGCAGCGCACCCTGCAGGTCACGGCTTCTCCTATTTGGGTATCCAACAACACTTGGGAGGCCTTGCCAGCGCACAGGCTGCTCCACCCCGTTTCTGATTTAACAGGTGTGAGGTAGGGGCCAGGATGATGCCCAGGCCGAAGGTCGACGAACCATGCTTTCCATTTGCACAGAGTCTCAGCAGCAAGAGGAGCCACGTGTCACAGCTACAGCCCAGAACCTAGCACACACAGCTAACCCCCCAGATATCTGCCAGATACAGGACCATCATAATGCAGGTTTGTGATACGTTCATTTCAAAAACATTACACATGTTGGGAACCAGCAGTTAGCGTAATGGCTATGTCGCTGGACTCCCACGTAATCGACCGCGGTTCGTGTCCCGGACCCGGTGGCTTAAAACTCACGCCGGGCGCGTGTGTGTGCGTGCC